AAAACACCTAAGTACGTTTCTGCCTCTCGAACGTCTTGTAACGAATAAAATGCATCGTCACTATGAGAATAAACAGGCCACTAGAAAGGCCTTCATCCGTAAACATCACCCGTTATTTTTTTTTTCTCTTTCCTTTCGCTTATTCTGTCTAATCAACGTTATGGTTATAAATTTTGTCGACACTCGGCAGGCTTTCACTCACAAAAATACAAGAAAAAAAAAGTATCAAAAGAAAGTAATATAAATTAAAAGAAAGATGTAAAACTTCTTGAATTGAATCAAAGGACGTGCACATATGTAAAATCTATTTTTGCACGCGATCAGTTGATCGGGAACATTTTGTGTGTCTCAATCATGCGCAAATTTGGATTTATCTTATATAAAAAATCATTCAACTTGCACATACCCTTCTATTTTTTCCGTTTTTACCTTTTCCCTTTCGTGATCCGATGTCACTGTTTATTAGTTTTACTCCATTATTACGTATATAACTGTCATCAGTTGTGCGCAGCATAATACATATTTTTCGGGAGTATAAGTGAGTTTCTATTCTTATAGTGAACACTTTGGCAAATATGAATTTTCTACTTGCTTGTATTTTCGCACTTTAATAATTAATTCGAAGAAAAATTAAAAATAGAGGAAGTTTTACACATCAAATTTGGCGAAAAGGAAATTGAGAATGAAGTATTCTGATCAAAGGTGGATTTTATTCTAAAACTAATTGTTTAAATTAAATAGTTAATGCTGAAACACTATCTCTATGAAGAATAATGGAACGACTTTTCGGACGTGTGTAACTTGCAAACAATAGATGAACTGAATCATCCCTCCTTCAAGGTTCTGAATTAATATTAAACTGAAATTGGATTATAAATAATGTCTTGCAAAATTATTTTCTTTAATACAAAAGGAAGTCAATACACTCTTTTCAAATTATTAATCCATAAATATTGAGAAAAGAGTAAATATAGATAACGAAACCAGACGAGTTGAGATCGGTGTTCAAACATCGCTTTATATGGCGTAAAACAGTCTTTTCCAGGTAAGATAAATATTGTGATTCCTGTTGGTTTCGATGAAAATCGAACTCGTAAAAATTCCACTAAAGTCAAATATTTTCGATAAATTGGATAAGATTGTAGTGCAAAAAATCTGATTTGATCAGTCGGAGACAGTTTTACCAAAGCATAATAGAGCGACGAATGATTCCGATGGCCGCTAACACCATATTGATCAAATGAAATGATTGTTGAAATGTTCCATTGTCGTATTGATTGTTTCACATGACCTAAAATTGCATCGGAAGACCAATCAACACTTTGACTATCTTTCAGGTAAATCTGATCATCAATAATCTTCAAGTCTTTCACTCGAAGTTGAAGACATGAACGACGTAATTCATCCGATCGATGATTGTTTCCATTGGAAAGACAAAGGACATAAAAATCCGAACGAAGAGATAACAATGTTGGTGAAAAAAACATACATTCGTCATCTGGATGCGCGATAACTAGAAGACAATTACCATAGTTTTCTGTAGAAGTCGAAGATATCAAACGAATGAGAAGGAATGGTACGAGGATTAAAAGCAGACAGATTAGAAAAATCAGTAATAAGATGAAAAACATCAATCTGCAATAGGAGGAAACGGTTTTATTTACTTTTCTATAAGGAGAGAAAGACGAAAATGAATTCTGTTTAAAAAAAATCATCGAAATACAAAGAGTTCATTTCTTCTGTGGCGCTGGGTCGGTTTTCAATGGTGTATGAGGATTTGGTTGAGGGAGACGATACGACGTCATCGACGCTTCGATATCGTAGTAGCTAAACGTTGTATAATTATACATGTCGTCGGCTAAATACTCTGAAGAAGACTTTCCCAAACCGCTCTTATTTGCTGATTTGTCTGAAAGCACAGCAAAGAGTTCAAGTAAATCAATCAACGTGAAATGTTTTACCTTGATTTGATGAAGCTTGTTTCGATAACGTTGAACCGAAACGAGTTGAAAGAGGGATGAACTGAAAATATAGAAAACAGAGAGATTTTTCAAGACGGAAAATGAGTGATACTCACTCGAGTCATCATTGATGATGATGATCGAAGAATTTGGTTAGAAATCATCTGAAAAAATGCTTTTCTTTCAAAACTATTTAGAAAAAGTCGTGACACATTATGTTCAGTGGGAATAGGAAATCAATGCTGAATTGAATCTACATAAAACTAATATGCGTCAGCATCGATTAGTTAAAAATCAATCAGATTCAAACTCTGAACCACTATGATACAATCATCAAGCGTAAATATAGCACACTTATGGATCTCGATAGGTGTCGCCAGTGAACTTCAAGATGATATCTGTTCGAAATACTCGATTTTACTATCTAATTGTTTTCAAATGCTTGATTTTATTTTCCAACTATCTACTCATCGTTTACGTAGTTTTGCTTTCGTTTTTGGTACGCTCCTTTGGTTCCTGTTAACTATCCGACAACGCTCCAACTAGCGCCATCTATTCGAAAATATTTTGAACAGTAATCCTTCTTTTGAAATTTTCCTCATTTTGTACTGAATTTTTCTGTAAGAAGAAATCCATTTTCTACGCGAAAAGAAAATTTTCTAAACAAAAATTAAAATTTCAATTGAGGTCAAGGATTTTTCTTTATGGTATTTTCAGTCAGCCGAAAAAATCATCAAGACATCTAGACAACAAATGATTATCCGAGACAAAGAACATTGACAAAACAAAAAAAAAACACACGTCAAAAGCAGAGAACTCGGTTTGTTTCTTTTCCTTATAGATTCCTCGATGAAATCTTTTTTATTCATTTCTGTTAAATCAAGTTATGAAACTCATTGAACCCTCTGCACGTAGGATAAACAATTCTTCAAAGATAATGAATTAAACACACAAAAAATAAACAAAAGAGAATCGAATTCCGAAAGTTTTGATTTTCCTTCCATTAATTTAATTACAAATTCTCATTTAAACGAATTTATAATCAAGTTTTGTCAACATGGCAGATCTCGAAGCTGTGTTAGCCGATGTTTCCTATTTAATGGCAATGGAGAAATCCAAATCCACACCAGCAGCTTCAGCGAGTAAAAAAATCGTTTTACCCGATCGAACGTAAGTTGTCCATCGAAGAATTTGCTTTTCCAAACTGAAATTGTCCTTCACTTGAATAGAGTACGAAGTGTCACACACAAACATTTACAAAAGATGTATGAAAATACATTCGACAAAATCTTCAATCAACAAATCGGTAGGAAATGACGTTTTTTCGATTTATCAGAAGAAAAAAAGAGCGAAGTTAATCGGATGATTTTGAATAATTTGTTTGTATTTGATTAAATCAATGAATTTTGTAATTAAATTGTCAGACATCGATTTCTTTTCTTCTCACTGCCAACGGCGAGTGTCATCTCGCGTAACCCCTCCGGTTTTCTTTGGCTCTCAGGTGGTTCCAGTTTTGTTAAAAATTATTTTTTTTTATTCTGTTCTTTTCTCTCTAAGCACATCGGCGTCAAATCCCTGAGGAGAATCACTTTGGAAATAGTAAACGGTTAACATGCAACCGGTTTAGAAGATCAATTGGAAAACAGGAGATTAGACTTGTTGTTTTTCTTCTAGGATTTCTTCTTTTCAAAGAATTTTGCTCGACATTATGTGACGAACCTGTGCCTCAATTGAAATTCTATGAAGAGGTAAACATTTTTTTTTCGTAAAACGAAAAAGCGCGACAATTTTTCCTTCAGATCAAACGATTTGAAAAACTCGAAACCGATGAAGAGCGATGGCGAGTTGGAAAAGAAATTTATGATCAATTTATCATGAAAGAATTACTTTCCAATTCACATGTAAATTTCCGTATTGAAATTTTTTCTTATAAAAGTAAATCTGTTCGATTTTTAGACTTACACCGAACGAGCTGTGGAAAGTGTGAAGAAACATTTATCGAAATATAATCCAAATAATCCGAAGAACACATTACCATCGAATTTATTTGAACCTTATAAGAAAGAAATATGTGATTTACTACGTGGAAGAATTTTCGATAAATTTATTGAATCGGAAAAATATACACGATTTTGTCAATGGAAGAATTTCGAATTGAATATTCAGGTTTTTATTTCGATTAGAATTTGTTTCAGCGAATGTGATATATTTGTGTGTTTTAGTTGACAATGAATGATTTTAGTGTACACAGAATTATTGGCCGGGGTGGTTTTGGTGAAGTTTATGGATGTAGAAAAGCAGATACAGGAAAAATGTAAGCAGAAATTGAAGCGAAATACCGAAACTTCGATGTTTGTTTTGTTATAATAGGTATGCAATGAAATGTCTTGATAAAAAACGTATTAAAATGAAACAAGGTGAAACATTAGCATTGAATGAACGTATTATGCTTTCACTCGTCAGCACAGGAGTATGTTGTTTGATCGTTGTCAATGATTTGAAAGAAATCTGTTCGATTTTTAGGAAGAGGGTTGTCCATTCATTGTTTGTATGACATACGCATTTCATACAGCAGATAAACTTTGTTTTATTCTCGATCTTATGAATGGTAAAAGAGAAGTTTTCATTGATTGATCATGTTCACTTTCGTTTTCAGGTGGTGATCTGCATTATCATTTATCTCAACATGGAGTTTTCTCGGAAAAAGAAGTGAAGTTTTATGCCGCGGAGATTACCTTAGGATTGGAACATATGCATCTTAGATCAATTGTGTATCGCGATCTAAAAGTATGTAAATCTCTTTTTTCTTTTGTCATTAATTTCCTATGACGACGATTTTAGCCTGCAAATATTCTACTTGATGAACACGGTCATGTTCGTATCTCAGATTTGGGTTTAGCTTGTGATTTTTCCAAGAAAAAGCCACATGCCAGTGTGGGAACACATGGATATATGGCGCCAGAAGTTTTAGCTAAAGGTGTAGCATATGATTCAAGTGCTGATTGGTTTTCATTTGGTTGTATGTTATACAAATTACTCAAAGGGTATGTATGCCGAACGATGTGTTTGGTCGGAAAACAGTTGTTTTGTTTAGTCATAGTCCATTTCGTCAACATAAGACAAAAGACAAACATGAAATTGATAAAATGACCATGACAATGGTAAGATGAATGTTGCGATTTATTGAATAACGTTGTATTTTGGAAAATTTTAGTCGATTGAATTACCGGAGACAATGACAAATGAAATGCGAACNTGCTGCTTTTGTTGTCATTTTCGAAATATTTCTTCTTTTTCTTTTTGATCAGTTTTTTTTCTCGTTCTCCTTGTCTCGCTTCTTTCAAACCGAATTCGCACAGAACGAACTTTCTAGGATGTCGTCTCATTTCATGAATGGCGTATGGCATTGAATGATGCATTGAATAAATCGACATTAACACTTCACTCATCGAAGAAAATTGGACGATTATTAATGCCAACCGAAAATGGACCAACCACAGCGACAACAACAATAGCACCCGCCGCCGCTGCCGCCGTACCCAATTCGACTCAATAATGATTAAGAAAACTTTAATCTCTTTCGCTCGATTTCATTTTCTAGTCATTTCTGGCCTATTTTTCTTCGCTCTTGTTTCATATATTCGGTGGTATGATCTGACAACAAAGCTATTCATTTCATGTATCTTCGATTGACCTTCGTTTTTCTTCTTCTTGTATGTATATATTTCTATATCTTATTCGAATAGAGAAAAAACAGTGAAAAGCCGAAATCTGTCTATGTTTGTCACTCAAATATACAAATCTAACTTTCTTTCATTGTCGTACTTCTTTGTTGATGTTGTTGGTTATTTTTTTTCTTTCTTCTTTTGTCTCATTTTTTCTCTTCTTCTTCTTTTTTTTCTATTTGGCCAGAAAATAATATTAATGAAACAATAAATTCATATGGAAATATGTTTTGCTTTCAATATTAATGCAATTGATTTCATTTCTCTTGCAGATAACGTTTCCCTTTGTTTTACTTCCATGATTTATTGTTTGTAATTAATTTAACACAATGCAATGGTTTATCATTATCGGTAAGATACTTTTCAAAGGTCGTCAATCAATTCTAATCTATCATTTAGTTTCTCTTGTGGTGCTACCATATCTTGTAATATGTCAGATACCATATTCGTCATCTGTTGTTGCTGATCCTAACCAACAACAACAGAATTTATCAAATCAACAGCCAATCAATACTCAGATAGGAAGTTCGTCGTCTCGCTCAACTGAAGTTGATTTAGTCGGAAATTTGTCACAAGCATTTACATTTCAAGTCGCCCCGCCATCGATTAAAGTAACATATTTAGGTTTAAATGGATATTCTTTGTATATTATGGGCGTTGGATTTTCGAATAAATCGAAATTTCATTATGATGAACAAAACAATCGATTAACTGTTCTTTCACTTGATTCAACCACTGTTGGATATTACTCAGCAGTCGATGCCAATTGGCAAACATTTACAACCGTCCTTAGTGCAATTAATGGTAAAAGAAAGAATCTTTAGTTTTGAGGTTTGAGACAAATGAAATTTCGTTTAGTTTCGTCACTTCAAATACATAATTCTCATGTCAGTGAAGATAATAATGGTTCAGCGTTAGTTTCTTGTTCAGTGTCAATTATTCGTTCGACATTTAAGTTAGCTGAAACATCATCGAGGTCTGCTGGGACGGAAAATCTGCCTCGGTTAGATTTATTTTTATCAAGTCGCACAGCGATGTCAGTATTAAAAGATAATAAAATCTACAATGATTCATTAAATGAACAAAATTTCACACGAACAATTACATTACAACGTCCATTAACACGTGCAGATCACAACGGAACAGTTCAATGTCAAGTGGAATCAAACAATAACATCGATGTTTATCTGATCAAAACTGTTCCTATCGATATCGAATGTAAAGTTTTCGCTTTTTTCCTTCATTCTTCTCATTTTCGAATGTTCATTTTCTTAGATGGACCAAATTTAGAGCCGGGTGCTTCGCCAATCACTGTATTGGAGAGTGAAGCTCTGAAGCCATTTGCTATGGATTGTCAAATAGAAGCGAATCCGAGTCCATCTTATGTTTGGTATGAGATGCCAAGTGATGTGTCAGCGGATTACAATCAGCAATCAGTACCAGGGGCACCAACTGTCTTTGGTACGACAAGACAAATTCAAAGAATTTATCAATATCCGGGGAATTATTCAATGCAGTGTCAGGCGCAATCGAGAGGGAAAACAGTCAGACAAGATTTTAGAATATTTGTCCGTCGTAAGTGACAAAAATGTTGTTTCATAGGAGAGAAAAAAATGAGACCACCTATTTTAGCACAATCGACTGCAATGAAAATCGGTTCGGATACGGATGGAACTCGAGAAAGTAGGTTGAGTTTTAGAAATGAATCGAAGATTTTCTAGGGAATTTTTCGTAGGATCTTATAAAGTTCCAATGATCATCGGAAGTATTATCGGCAGTATTCTACTTTTACTTGTACTTGCAATTATTATTGCTGGAATTGTTTATTTAAAACGACGAAAACTAAATCCGGACAAGAAATCATCGCTAAGTGGTTCGTGTTCTCTCTGATTTCTTACAGAAAATCGATTTCCTAATTTCATTTCAGATGAAAAATTAGCGAATGATAAACAAGGCAAATCTCGTTGGGGCGGTTTACCCATTGATTATTCGAAATACAAACACGAATCACTAAAAGTCGATTCATCATCAACCTCACATTTAGTTGAGTCAGCAGAAACCAATTCTCTTCAAGCACCACCTGTACCGGCACGTCCATCACCGATGGCGAGTACAAATTCGTCCTACCGGCAAACACCATCGACAACGGTTTCATTTTCCTATCGCCAAGCAAGTGCTCTTCCAGGTTTTCGTTCAACTGCAACCACTCGACCTTATTCGCCAACCGAAGAAGATCACGACGAAGTTAGTGCAAATATCAATCCAATGCCATTAACATATAATCGCTCACGAACGAATACACCGTTGGGCTCACATCGATCTCTTTCGGAATCGATTCAATCGTTGCGTTCAAATCAACAACCGGCACTTTCATTGCCTGTTAAAAAACGAACACAAGATCCACCGACAGTGCTTCCAAAGCGTGAACAAAAAACGCCAGCAACGGAAGTGCAAAAAGATTATCAACATCATCATTATCATAATCCAGCGCAATTACAAGTTGAACAACAAAAGAAAATGACGGATAATACATCGTCGGAGGAAGAAGAAGAAGAAGGAGAATTTGAAGCTCAACAAAAAAATCGAACATCCGACGTTTCACCGGTACGTCAATTTGACTAAATTATTCTTCCAAATCTACATTCATTTCTACAGATAACTGTTTCAAGCACATCCGGATATAATCAAGTTGATTTTCATCATCCAACGTCTCGTCGAATTGTTACTCCACTCTCATCTCAGGGAATCATTCATGATGAAGCTCCACCAGCCTATCATCAAATTGCTAGTAAACCATCTCCATCTCCATCTCATGCATACGCTTATCAAGAACCTACTGAAGTCTAATTTACAACATTTTGTTAGTCGGAACGAATGAATCTCTTTGTTTTAGCACATGAATGCTTTGTTTTCACATTTCTACATATATATGCAGATTAATCAGATATTATGATCAATACTTTCGCGTGTGCGTGTGTGTACATTCCACTCAGTTTACTCAATAATCTTTGCAATTGTTTTTTGTTATGTTATTCTATACAACGAATTGTTTTTTTTTCTAATCGAATTTTTCTGTCATATTTACTCGGATTAAACTTTCTTTACTAGCAAAGCTATTTCTCAAGGATGAATATTTTCATGATGACAGTGACATTCATTATATAATCAACGAGAATTGACTGACAGTTTCTTTACATTTGAATATGAATGAGTTGATCTTTTCTAATCAATTGTAGGAATACAATGACAGAAAGTATTCGAATTCCTTCTTAATCTTTCTTTCACCTTCAGATGGATCCTCTTCCATTAGGTCGATGTAGCCATAGAAATCTTTCCGCAAAGTCAACTCAATGTGATCGTTGGGCACGACTCGTTTGTTCACATTGTAATCGAGGAGTTTGTGTCGAACATGAGAAAATACATCAAGAAGAAAGTCAGAGAAGAATAGATGAACTTCAAAATCAAATGAATGATCTTCGACAGAGACTCCATACATTGACACATGAACAACTGGTGGAGAATTTTGAGGAGAAACTTGATCAATGGACGAACACATGTAAAAACGAAATCGATCGAAAAGCGATGCAAATGTTAAAACAAGGAAAGAGTTTAATTGAACAATTGAACGTGGAAGAATTTCGTTCTAACTGTTTAAATCAAATTGAAAACAGTTTAGAACCAAGTCAAACACATACCAGTAAATTAGAAGAACAAATCGAACAAATGAAAGAGAAAATCTCATATCTTCAAATAACGAATGATGGGTAATGACTATTTTCATAAGTTTCGCATTGATTTTCTTCTTCTTCTCCCTTTTAGTCAAATCAAAGTTAACCATTTCCTTACCAAACCATCAAGAGATATGATGAATCTTGATTGATTCTTATGTTTGCAGCCAATTCCTTTTTGAAACCGCGTTCCTATGAAAAATTACATAGGGTTTTAGTATGTTTTAAATAAAACACATACGAGGAGGTGAATGGAAAGAAGACGATTAAATCATCGGTTGCATTGATATTGATTAACAGAAAGCAATCGTATTGATGGCGTGAAGATCTATTTTCATTCATGACTATTTACTAGATAAACAGAATCAAAGTACCAATATATGAATCGTTCAGCAGATAATATAAGTCTTCTTGATATAGATCAGATAGGTTCTCTGGATTGTTCTGGTGTTTATATCTGTCATTGTTAAAGGCTTCTTTTCTTATTGTTTAAAAGAGAAAGAGGCATTTACTTCTATTTAAGACTGGTTTTGTCTGTGTATTTAAATGAAACAATGAATTCTACCCCCAAGTGAAATTAGAATGAGAGTATAGATGAAACGTAGGATACCTACGGGCAAGATTCGACATTTTCTTGAGCCGATTCGTTTCAGCGTAGGTTCCAATCAAACCAACACTGGTTTCACGTACAATTTGATGAGCTCTATCGGTTCCAATCATAAAAATTTTTCACCCCATCCTCATCTATCCGTGTTCCTAGAAAAGACGAACTGTAATAGATGAAACATCTGCGAATTTGAGAAAAATCATTTTCTATTGCGCTGATTATCGTGACATCACCTACACTATCTGTATTTATATGAATCACTCCTTTGTTGATTGAAGGCCATGTGTCACAAGTTGAAAACGTTCCTGAAAAGTAAAGAATCTTATCTATGTGTAACGGGTCGCCATGTATATGAGTGCGCACGAAAACTACCTGTTCTTTTTTGTGGAATAATTATCAACAGAAGATGTCTTTTCAGTCGAGCAAAGTCATGTTCGCTATCGTGCTTTTACTCACAATTCCATTGCAGGAAGTCATCGCCAGTACTTGTTCTTTCTTGGGTATGGTTTTTGTTCCGAAAGACTAAGAGATCCTATTGATTCTTTGATTTTTTCTTTGAAAATAAGAAAAAACCTGTATCAAATATTCAAGCACTTGGTGCTGTCGGAGTAAATCGATCGGATTCATCGTGGAAAATAATTCTATTTAAATGTTTATTTCTCATAGTTTATGAATATTGTGGAAGTTATTCAGGATCATGTTTGTCTTATACAACAATAAGAACGACTACTACCACCACTGCGCAGCCTTCACGTTTCACTGATCTTCCCAACGGCGCTATCGTTACAATTATTGCACTTCCAATCTTTTTCTGTATTATTTTTTGTGGATGTTACGCTAGTTCAAGTCAACAACGACAAAATACCAGTCATACCTCGTCGAATGCAAATTCTTCCTTTCGACCGTCTCGACATCAACGACAATCATCACCAAATCGTATAAATCCTGTTGTCGCTCCACCACCGATTCCGACTTTTTATGAAGATGCTCCACCGTCATATGAAACCGCTGTGGCTGACTTATCTCCTAAAACACCACCACTCACAGCAAATGTCGATCGAACAAATCTATAGATCGTCTTCGACCGTAACGAAGAAATATTCCTTTTTCTTATTTTTATCTGTATGAAGGAAATTCATGAACGGATCGTTTCGAAATCTTTATTTTCATAAGTTGGTTAATGTTCGAAATATCATTGACGAAAACGTCCATTATTGTTGTTCACTTCTCGCATAGAGTATTTTCATATTCACATAAGCGAGAGTGAAACTCTTTGTTGTTGTCAAATCCATGTATGAGACGTAAGATAACGAAACCATGGGGTAACGCTGGAACTGTATTTGGTTGGTAGAAGCGCCAATATAGCGTAAATTCATTTTGATGATCCATAGCAATTTTGCAGGTCGATTATTGCGTGAAATTGTTGTTGTTGTGCATGACAAACAACAAATGTGTGTGAGGTGCTGACCATCACAAAGAAAAGATCGATATGAACAGTAGAATGTTATTCATTCTCTCTCTCTCTCTCTTTATTCTCTTGTTGATATGAACGAAAAAGAGTCGAATCTCATGACAACGGTCAGTTGATAAAAATGTCAGATGTGTACATTCCCGTCTGTTGTTGAGTTTAGGTTCATAAAACAACGTTTTAGAGGATCGTTGAAAATTAATCGAAAGACTTTTAATCCTTCAAGCTATAAAATGCGCTCTGATGACTTTTTTTTGCAATTAACTGTATCATGGATATCAAATAGACTTTCAGAAATCGCCTTTTTATTCGAAATATTCTTCGGCGGTGAAATTGAAACAACTCTGTGTGCAAGTATCTCGCATGTTTCATGCATACACACAATGAACAAAATCAAGAAATGGATCGGTCGTTTGAAGATTTTGGAAATGGATATAGCATACGAACAGAATGTCGCAGGGAACATCGGTAACAAGCTTGCCGTTATAGTCTCTTTGGAGTTAAAATCAGAGACTCACGTTCCATTTACATCTGTTTCTGTCTAAGATATGTCGGTATGATCTGCACTATTTTTCCTTCAGCTATTTTAGTCTCGGATACTAGTAAAAATAAGACCATGGTATTTGCTATGCAGGTATCGAGTGGTGTGAATACAGTGGACAAGACCGACAGGCGTAGAAAATCGGATTCCGTAAAACGATTTGCTCAGATGGGCGCGAAACCCATGAGACATGTCACTGATGATGATGATAAGAAGAGAGAAAGTCCCCTTCATCGTTCATGAATTTATTTTCGTGTTGTTTAACATACATGTGATTTCATGTGGCGATTCTCTTTCTATTGTTCATTAATATACGCGACAGAACTTGCGAGTTTGTATTGTAATGATCTTCATGAAGCCTAAAAGTTTATAAGAACGAAGTCGATCAAACGCGAAAATAAAATAGCAAGAGTGTAGCGAGAACTCTGGCAACAAACATGCCACTGCCTAGCCCCTTTGAAGTCAAAATGAGACACTCAGCTTCACCCTGAAATCTCCGATGTCACTGAAATTCTCGATATCTGTCAACCAATAGTCGATTTTGGCTCTTTCTATCATGAACTTTGTTGATACGTATGTTGAACAGCAATTAGAAACCTTTTCTTTTTTATCTTTCGATTGAGCACGAAACGTATCGAATAAGATCGAAGTGTAATTGTCTTTCATTGACGGTTCACTTTTCATGTCGTAAAGATCTCATTCAAATTACAATCCTAAAAGAATATAAGATTGAGAAAATATTGTGAAGAGAAATAAGATAATGCTTATACCGATGTTAATAATTCGCTGTATCGTTGAAGGATGTCGTTACCAGCACGTCTGTTTCGATTGTGAGCCATTTGTGCGTCAAATCTTTAGCAAGCTATAAAAGAAAACATCATTAGAACTATCGAGACTATTTTCTAGCTGCTTGCATTGTGAACGATAGAAACTCAGTTGTTAAGAAGATTCACAAAATCGATGATTCTCATATCAATCGTCGGTGCGACAGAGAGACTTATTTCATCGTTTGCATCAGTAATTATTCGAATATACCGTTCGATCATATCACGCAGAGTTCTGTGCTTTTGAGTGGATGTCATTACCAAGATCAACAAAGAGAACTTCATTTTGATGAAAAAACTTCATGTATTTACATATGTTTCTTGGCGTGTTTCAATGTTATTCTCTTCAGAATTTTCATGAGCTAGCTTTTCTTGACACATTTTGACAAAACTGACTGCTACGAATGAGAGCAACGTTAATGATGAGCTCGAACACCGATTATGGAAAAAAATCATTCTCATCCACTGACTTATTTGTCCATTGTACATTTGTTCGCTCTCAAATTAGCTGCAATTCAACAACCGAAATTCTTCATCTTATTCTATCTATCTATTTCAAACTCATTCTATAATAATGAAGGAAGCTTGCTCAATGAATCATCAGAAAAATTTTCTTGCACAATTCCGTGAAAGTCGAATTCTTATTGGACATTGATAGTTTATAACGTATATGATTCATAATCTATTCTGGTTCTGTATCTTTTCCCTGGATTGCATCGCGAATGTTCTTTACGTCGACTGAATAAATATTTATGCTCTCATTTATACAACGATAGCCTGTCATAAGTGATTCATTGTGTATTTTGTATCGCCGTATATAAAGAACAAAAGCTGAAGGTAGAAACGCATTCATATAAAGTGAAACGATGTTACGAATTAAAAGTAGACTGATAGCTGCAAATGATCTACCCGAACAACCAAAATACGTTCCATTAAAATCCGTTCGTGTTGAAGGAAAGATCGAATCATTTGCTGCTGATGTGACAATCAAACAAGTGTTTCGTAATGACGAAACAAATCCAATCGAAGCTGTTTATTGTTTTCCCATCGAAGAACAAGCAGCTGTTTATAAATTCATTGCACAAATCGATGATCGACAAATCGAAGCTGATTTAAAAGAAAAGAAGGAAGCACAGAAAGAATACAACGAAGCTCTTCAACAAGGTCATGGCGCCTATCTACTCGAACAGGATGAGAAATCTCAAGATAATTTTATCATTAACATCGGTGCACTTCCATCTGGAAAGGAATGTCATATCACAATATCCTACGTAACCGAATTGGACTTAATTGATAATGGACAAAAGATTCAATTTGTTGTTCCGACTACCATTGCGCCTCGCTATAATCCCTCCAAAAGTGGAATATCTTCGCCAGCTGGAACAACTTCTCAATATGTTCAAAGTGCGCCTTATACCATCGATATGCAGTGTGAAGTTGGCAAAACAAATGTTTCACGTCTAAGCTCGCCGTCGCATCCGGTCGAACTCGATCTCAGTCAACAAGATTACTATGTAGTCAGATTCAGTCAAAATCAAACGCATTTAGACCGTGATATTCTCCTTGATATTCATTTGAATGAGCAACGATCGAATACAGTTTTAGCAATTGAACAAAATGCTTTTATGATTTCATTTACACCAAATGAACAAGATTGTCAACGAGCGATGAATAATGTGGAAACAACGAATGAATTTGTATTTATTGTCGATTGTAGTGGATCAATGCGAGATGAGAATAAGATTGGCTATGTTCGACAATCGATGATGCTTTTCTTGAAAAGTCTTCCACTGAATTCGTATTTTAATATCATTCGATTTGGATCGAGTCATCGATCATTATTTGACCAGGCAACAGTGATTTATAATGAAGAAAATTCGAAAAAAGCAGCAGATTTAATCAAAACAATGGAAGCTGACTTAGGTGGAACGGAATTAGTAAGTGAGAAATCGAGTTTTTCATTCATGATCTCTTGATCTTTCTGTTTAGTTAAATCCATTGAAATGGCTTGGTGAACATCCACCACAAGATGGTCGTTCTCGACAAATCTTTCTTCTAACTGATGGCGAAATCTCGAATGTCACTGAAGTTCTTGATCTCTGTCGGTCAATGTCGAAATCGTCACGAATATTTTCCTTTGGCTTAGGTAGATCACCAAGTCGTTCATTAGTGAAAGGCTTGGCACGCTCAACCAACGGTCGATTTTGTTTCATTCCACCATCAACAAAAGTTGATACATATGTTGGTCAACAATTAGAGAAAGCTCTTCAATCATCGATAACAAATCTTGAAATCAAATGGAATTTACCAATTCAAGNAGTCAACAAGATTATTATGTAGTCAGATTCAGTCAAAATCAAACGCATTTAGACCGGGATATTCTCCTTGACATTCATTTGAATGAACAACGATCGAATACGATTTTAGCAATTGAAAAAAATGCTTTTATGATTTCATTTACACCAAATGAACAAGATTGTCAACGAGCGACGAATAATGTGGAAACAACAAATGAATTTGTATTTATTGTCGATTGTAGCGGATCAATGCGAGATGAGAATAAGATTGGCTATGCTCGACAATCGATGATGCTTTTCTTGAAAAGTCTTCCACTGAATTCGTATTTTAATATCATTCGATTTGGATCGAGTCATCAATCATTATTTGATCAGGCAACAGTGATTTATAATGAAGAAAATTCGAAAAAAGCAGCAGATTTAATCAAGAAAATGGATGCTGACTTAGGTGGAACGGAATTAGTAAGTGAGAAATCGAATTTTTCATTCATGATCTCTTGATCTTTGCGTTTAGTTAAATCCATTGAAATGGCTTGGAGAACATCCACCACAAGATGGTCGTTCTCGACAAATCTTTCTCCTAACTGATGGCGAAATCTCCAATGTCACTGAAGTTCTTGATCTCTGTCGGTCAATGTCGAAATCGTCACGAATATTTTCCTTTGGCTTAGGTAAATCACCGAGTCGTTCATTAGTGAAAGGCTTGGCACGTTCAACTAATGGTCGATTTTGTTTCATTCCACCATCAACAAAAGTTGATACATATGTTGGTCAACAATTAGAAAAAGCTCTTCAATCATCGATAACAAATCTTGAAATCAAATGGAATTTACCAATTCAAGTAACAACTGCACCAAAAACTCTTCCGCCAGTCTACGCAAACGATCGTCTGATCGTTTATGGATTTATTAATGATCCATCAGTGCAATTTGATCATCGTATTCAAATCGAACTGTTCAGTAACCAACACAAACTAGCCGAAGCAAAAATAACACAAATACCAGCGATCATTCAGAATCAAACCATCAGCCGTTTAGCAGCAAAAGCTCTCATACTCGAATTACAACATTCGAAACTACCACCAATACAAAGAAAAGGATCAGGGCAAGCAAGATTTCAAGAGTTGAATAAACAAGATGAAAAGTCCATCGACAATGAGAAAGAAGAACAGAAGAAACATATTATCGATTTGTCATTGAAGTATCACATTCTTAGTCCATATACTTCATTTGTTGGAATTGAAAAACGTCGAGATGGAAATAACGTCGGAATGGTTTTGCGTGAAGTACAAATTGAAATTTCAGCTGATGATCAACATTTACAAGTTCGACGTTCTGCCGCAAACTCTTTCGGTATGCCGCGTATGATGTGCTGTAAAAAGGCCGCAACTTCACCCATGTCGACAACGACGTCTACACTAGCGCGCGTCAAGCGAATGTCATCTAATGGCGGCGCACAAATGGGTTTAGATTTTACAGCTGCTCCTGCAGTTCGTAGAGAAAGTCGAGCAAGACAGATACCAATGGATGTCGATAACGAAGAGTTTCCAAGTGGTGATGAAGATATTGTCCGTTATTTAATTGAGAAACAAAATTTCGATGGACTTTGGAGTGTTGATTGTGACATCATTCAAAAGCTGACAGGAAAATCGCTAACTCAATTTCAGTATTCAGCACAAAAAGAATTGATTATATCAGCAATCATCATTATTTTATTAGAAACCCGTTTTTCATCATATTCTTCAATGTGTAGTGGAATCATCCAGAAATCGAAAAAACGAATTCTCGATCTACTCAACAAAGATCAAAATCAATTTCAATCCTTATTTGATGGTATTCGACAACAACTCTGAACTTTTGTCTTTGTAAACTTAATGTTTTCTTCTAAGACATAAACAAATAAAATACGATACATCTATTTTCACATTAATCATAATTCATCAAAATAAAGTGTAAAACATCTACCTGTAAAAAAAAGACGTCAAATGTGTGGATCATCAATAATACAATGTACGATAATTGAATCTGTTCATCATTAGGTAATTGTGTTTGTTCCATTCGAGTAATTTTGTGATAATTGATCAATTGAAGACAAATGCTTTTTTTTATTTCGCAAGATACGATTTTATAAAAAAAAGGAAAGAAAATCTTATGCAACTTCTGCTTCTTCATGTTGTTCTTCAAGTTCAGCTTTTTGATCTTCAGCATAGGATAAACCTTGATTGATCCAATCTTCAAACGATCCGATCAATTTCCATTCTGGAATGTTGTGAATAGCCAAATAAATTCTTCCAGATCGAATACTCAATAGATATTGTTCCGCATAATCATCCATTCCTTGTCCGATGATTAATAATTCACAAGGAACAGAATCAAACAGTTCCTCTGCTGTCGAACTTTTCCCACCATCTCGTTTATAAATTTTCGTATGTTCTTCAAAATCTTCATACAAATGTTTATCCACACAGGCATTGTCTTCTTCACTTAGACAAT